CACGAGGTCAGGAGATGGAGACCATCCTGACCAATATGGTGAAATCCCGTCTCTACTAAAAAATACAAAAATTAGCTGGGGATGGTGGTTGCGCGCTTGTAGTCCCAGCTGTTTGGGAGGCTGAGGCAGGAGAATTGCTTGAACCTGGGAGGCAGAGGTTGCAGTGAGCTGAGATCACGACATTGCACTCCAGCCTGGTGCCTGGCAACAGAGCTAGACTCTTTCTCAAAAACAAAAACAAAAACAAAAATGAATGGGGCATGGTAGCACACACCTGTAGTACCAGCTACTCGGGAGGCTGAGGGGAGAGAATTGCTTGAGCCCCAGAGGTGGAGAATGCAGTGAGCTGAGATTACACTATTGCACTCCAGCCTGGGTGGCACAGCAAGACCCTATGTCAAAAATAATAATAATAAAAATAAAAATAGCCAGACGAGGTGTGGCTCACGCCTGTAATCCCAGCACTTTGGGAGGCCGAGGTGCGTGAATCACCTGAGGTCAGGAGATCGACACCAGCCTGGCCAACATGGTGATACCTCATCTCTACTAAAAATACAAAAATTAGCTGGGCATGGTGGCATGGGCCTGTAGTCCCAGCTACTTGGGAGGCTGAGGCAGGAGAATTGCTTGAACCTGTGAAGCGGAGGTTGCAGGGAGCCAAGACTGTGTCACTGCACTCCAACCTGGGTGAAAGAGCGAGACTGTCTCAAAAGATAAGAAACAAAAAAATTTTTAAAAATAATAAAATAGGCCGGGCACGGTGGCTCATACCTGTAATCCTAGCACTTTGGGAGGCCGAGGTGGGTGGATCACCTGAGGTTAGGAGTTCAAGTCCAGCCTGGCCATCATGGTGAAACCCCATCTTTAAAAATAATAATAATAAGGCCGGGTGCGGTGGCTCACGCCTATAATCCCAGCACTTTGGGGGGCCGTGGCGGGTGGATCACGAGATCAAGAGATTGAGACCATCCTGGTCAACAGGGTGAAACCCCGTCTCTACTAAAAATACAAAAAATTAGCTGGGCATGGTGGTGCAGCCTGTAGTCCCTGCTACTCGGGAGGCTGAGGTAGGAGAATTGCTTGAACCCAGGAGGGTTGCGGTGAGCTGAGATTGCGCCATTGCACTCCAGCCTGGGTAATAAGAGCAAAACTCCATCTCAAAAAAATAATAAATAAATAAAATAATAATAAATAAAATAAAAGTTTGTGGCACCTACTCTTACTCTCTGTCACTTGCTCCTGTTTTTACCATGTGACTTGCCTGATCCCCCTTTGTCTTCTGCCATGATTGAAAGTTCCCGAGACTTCACCAGAAACTGAGCAGATGCCAGCACCATGATTCTATAGAGCCTGAATAAACATGAGTCAATTAAATGTCTGTTCTTTTTTCTTTTTTTGAGATGGAGTCTTGCTCTATTGCCCAGGCTGAGTGCAGTGGTGTGATCTCAGCGCACTGCAGCCTCCACCTCCCAGGTTCAAGCGATCCTCCTGCCTTGCCCTTCCAAGTAGCTGGGAATACAGGTGTGTGCCACCATGCCCAGCTAATTTTTGTATTTTTAGTAGAGACAAGTTTTCACCATGTTTGCCAGACTGGTCTCGAACTCCTGACCTCGTGATCCGCTGCCTCAGCCTCCCAAAGTGCTGGGATTACAGGCATGAGCCACCTTGCCCAGCCTCTTTTTTCTTTCTTTGAGACGAAATTTCTCTCTTGTCACCCAGGCTGGAGTGCAATGGCGTTATTCCAGCTCACTGCAACCTCTGCCTCCTGGGTTCAAGTGATTTCCTTCCCTCACCCTCTGGAGTGGCTGGGATTACAGGCACATGCCACCATGACCAGATAACTTTTGTATTTTTAGTAGAGATGGGGGTTTTACCATGTTGCTCAGGCTGGTCTCGAACTCCTGACCTCAGGTGATCTGCCCACCTCAGCCTAATTGCTTGAACCCAGGAGGTGGAGATTGCAGTAAGCCGAGATGACACCACTGCACTCCAGCGTGGGCAACAGAGCAAGGCTCTGTCTCAAAAAAAAAAAAAAAAAAAAGTATTGCCGGGTGCAGTGGCTCACGCCTGTAATCCCAGCACTTTGGGAGGCCGAGACAGGTGGATCACGAAGTCAAGAGATCAAGACCATCTGATCAACATGGTGAAACACCGTCTCTACTAAAAATACAAAAAGTTATCTGGGCATGGTGGCGCGTGCCTGTAATCCCAGCTACTCAGGAGGCTGAGGCAGGAGAATTGCCTGAACCCAGGAGGCGAAGGTTGCGGTGAGCTGAGAGTGCACCATTGCACTCCAGCCTGGGTAACAAGAGTGAAACTCCGTCTTAAAAAATATATATATATATTGAGTATTTAGGTGCCAAGTAAGGCACACTGGATCTTGCTCATAGTTAACTCATGGAAACAGTTCAGCATGCGCATTATCTCAATTTTTCAGGGAGTAATTGTGCTAAAGGAATCGTTTTGTGGTCTCTAAACCAAAATGTCTGACCACCAAATCTCCATAGTGTGCCTCTGCCAGGAAGATCTTAAGGCATTTCTGGATATTCTTTCTCTGTAATGTGTAGCTGATTTTCTTCAGTTAGACAGTTGCCCTTCACGTGTGTGTGTGACCATGTTTCCTGGCCCCATGTCACCAGTGATACCTTGACTCTCTCTCCTTTAGGTAATCTGACATACACACAAAAAATCCTGGGCCGGCTGTGGTGGCTCATGCCTGTAATCCCTGCACTTTGGGAGGCCAAGTCAGGCGGATTATTTAAGGTCAGGAGTTTGAGACCAGCCTGGCCAACATGGTGAAACCCCATCTCTACTAAAAATACAAAAATTAGCCAGGTGTGGCGGCACATGTCTGTAATCCCAGCTACTTGGCAGGCTGAGGCAGGAGAATCCATTGAACTCAGGAGGTGGAGGTTGCAGTGAGCTGAGATGGAGCCCCTGCACCCCAGCCTGGGGGACAAGAGCAAAACTCCATTTGAATAAAAAAGAAAAAAGAAATCCTCTCAGGTTAAAGTATAGAAATACAAACTTACATTAAAGGACTTTGTTTCCTTTTTGTGCCTGATAAATGAAAGAGTGTTAAAGTCTCTGCTACTGAGACGCAGAGGCAGGAAACAAGGCCAATGATAAACTGTGGTCCACTGGGTCCCTGTCAGGCCCTGAAGACAGAACAGAGGGGCTGAGATAAACCAGGCGGAGGCAGGAGGCAGGAACTGCTGAGCCTCTGCCTCCTGAAAGATCCTTGTGTAGGTCAAGGAGCCAGGCCTCCGTGTCAATTGGAAGATTTGCCTGCTCCTCCCAGTCATGAAGGAAACCCAATTGTTGAGAAAGAAAAGAGGTCCATGGTGCAGGGGAAAGAACCTGGCTATTGGAATCAGGGAGATCTGGGCTTAATTTGGACCGCACCCTTCACAAACGCAGGTTTGCATGAATCCCCTAACTTTCCAGTTAGCTCACCTATAAAAAGGGGGCAATGGCTGGGCATAGTGGCTCAATGTCTGTAATTCTAGACCTGTGGGAGGCTGAGGCATGAGGATTGCCTGAAGCCAGGAGTTTGAAACCAGCCTGGGCAATATTGTGAGACCCCATCTCTACAAACATTTTTAAAAATGATCTGGGCATGGTGGCATATGCCTGGAGTCCCAGCTACTCCGGAGGCTGAGGCCAGAGGATCACTTGAGCCCAAGGCTTTCCAGACTGCAGTGAGCTATGATGGTGACAGTACATGCCAGCCCAGGTGACAGAGTAAGACCCTGTCTCTGAAAAAACAAAAGAGAGGGGCAATGATCCTGCCCTCAGAGAAAGGCTGTGGGGGTTAAATGAACTCCTGGCATTGTTCTTCCAAAGCCAAACTATCACCAAGGGCAGACCTGGAACTTGAACTTGTGTCTATCTGGCTCCAAACACTGAACTTTGTTCTGCTTGAAGTGTCAAGATTGTTCAAGGAATGGTCTTGTTGCTATTGCTATTAAGAAGCCAAACAGCACGGCACTGAAGACAGAAGGAAGTGGGTTGGCTTCACGTGCCTTCTTCTATTTATTTATTATTATTTTTTAAGATGTGGTTTCACCATGTTGGTCAGGTTGGTCTTGAACTCCCGACCTCAGGTGATCCACCCGCCTTGGCCTCCAAAGTGCTTGGATTACAGGCGTGAGCCACCGTGCCCGGCCGATGGCTTCACATGCTTTCTAAGCTAAAGGCGAGTGGGTGAGAAACTAGGGTGCCTCATTCCTATGTTTCCCTCCATCATCTCCTCCCATCAGGTCCTCAATAAAGCCTGGCAGCCTGGATTTGTGCTGAAAGCCCCTGGAGCAGGTAGAGGTCCCCACACAGCTCTGCTATTCAGCATGCTTTGGGCCTTCCTCTCCCTTCCCCATCTGCTCATTTCTCAGTTTCCACACCAATAAAATGGGAATAATCAGAGTAAGTGCCTCATAGGGTGGTTATGAGGATTCCAGAGAGTAAACCAAGGAGTACTCTCAGCACCATGGCTGGCACAGTTAGTGCTGAACAAATTTGTTATTAATGCCCTGTCCCTGCCCTCGGGGAACTTAAAAATGTGTTGGGGAAAAAAATGCTTTTTTGCCAGACATAGCGGCTCAAGCACTTTGGGAGGCCGAGGCAGGAGTATCACTTGAGGTCAGGAGCTCGAGACCAGCCTGACCAACATAGTGAAACCCTGTCTCTAGTAAAAATACAAAATTAGCTGGGCTCAGCAGCGCATGCCTATAGTCCCAGTTACTTGGGAGGCTGAGAGAGGAGGAATGCTTGATCCTGGGAGGCTTTGCAGTATGCCAAGATCACTCCACTGCACTCCAGCCTGGGCAACAAGAGCAAAACTCCGTCTCAAAAACAAACAAAAACAAAAACCAACAAAACTTTTTAATGAGACAATTTTATAAAGCAGTATGTAAAATAAGACCCAATTAAAAAAAAAAAAACAGAAATATACATATGTAGAAAGAGAAAAAGGCCAGAAGGGAATGTTGGCAGCGCTTAACTCTCGGTGGTGAAATTATGGATCTTTATTTTTCTTCTTTGTGCTTTCGTGTATTTCCTACATTTTCCACAATGCACATATCACATTTACAATCAGGGAAAAGCGGTAACACAAAAAATGCAATGTAAATGCTGAGAGGAGCTATCACCGGCATCTGGGCTCTTTGGTGGGGGATGGTCCAGGGGAGTGGATTTCAGCACAGCCTGAAAGGTTGGCAGAATGTGAATTGGGGAGGGGAGCCGGGTGAAGCCTTTTTTATTCCTTGGTTTTTGTCTGTCTTTTCTAGACTACGGGTTCCTTGAGGGCAGTATCTGTGGTCTGGCTTGTTCACTGATGTATCCCTAACATCTTGCAAAACAAAAGCCTGGTGCTTAGTAGGTGCTCAATAAATACAAATCTAGTGAATGAATATATGACCTTGACAGCTCAGCTTAGCCTAGGAGACAAGGATGTTCTCAGTTCACTGTCCAGCTGGTCTGCTGCCAAAACTAAGGTGCATGGTTTCCATGGCAACGGAATAGGGCCTGACAGGCCAGCAGCAGGAGGCAGATGCAGGGATTGCGAACTCTGCATGTTTTCAAGGTGTGGCCTAGAAATCAGGAATGTGGCGGTGGGTTCTTTCAACAGATATTGAGGGAAAAAGAGCTTCATAAATACAGCTAACTCAGTTGTTCACCAGGCAGGTTTGTCAAATCAATCAATGAAAACTCGGGGAAGTAGTCGAGGTCTTTAAAGGTGACATGGGAGGCTCTTAGTATTTGAAAGGCTAGCAACTCGGAAAGTTTGGTTTTAGTCTGGACCCTAAGGGTGTGACCTTGGGCAAGTTACTTAACCTCTCTGGGCCTTAGCACGCTCATTCATAAAATGGGAGGTTCGACCAGCACTGAAATATTTATAAAAAGACGTGTGAGGCCTGGCGCGGTGGCTACATGCCTATAATCCCAGCACTTTGGGAGGCCAAGGCGGGTGGATCACAAGGTCAAGATATCGAGACCATCCTGGTCAACATGGTGAAACCCGGACTCTACTAAAAAAGCAAAAATTAGCTGGGCGTGGTAGCGTGTGCCTGTAGTCCCAGCTACTCGGGAGGCTGAGGCAGGAGAATTGCTTGAACCCAGGAGGCGGAGGTTGTGGTGAGCCAAGATTGTGCCATTGCACTCCAGCCTGGGAAATAAGAGCAAAAAACTCCGTCTCGACAAAAAAAAAAAAAAAAAAAAAGACGTGTGGTAGGAATGTAAAATGGTACACTTGGAAAAGAGTACGGTGGTTCCTCAGTAAGTTATACATAGAACTATCATATAACCCAGCAATTCCACTCCTAGGTATACACCCAAGAGAACTGAAAATAGGCATTCAAATAAATACTTGTGCACAAATGTTCATAGTTGCACTATCCCATAATAATCAAAAGGCCATCAGTGGATGAATGGATAAAGGTGTATATCCATACAATGGAGTATCATTCAGCCAGCCATAAAAAGGAAAGAAGTACTTATACATGCTACAACATGAATAAACCTTGAAAACATTAAGAAGCCATACCTAAAAGGTCATGTACGGTATTGTAAAATTCCATCTAAATAAAATATCCAGGCCAGGTGTGGTGGCTCACGCCTGTAATCCCAGCACTTTGGGAGGCTGAGGTGAGTGAATCACCTGAGGTCAGAGATTTGAGACCAGCCTGGCCAACATGGTAAAACCCCGTCTCTACTAAAAATACAAAAATTTTTATGGGTGTGATGGCGCACGCCTGTAATCCCAGCTACTTCGGAAACTAAGGCAGGAGAATCGCTTGAACCCAGGAGATGGAGGCTGCAGTGAGCCGAGATCGTGCCATTGCACTCCAGCCTGGGTGACAAAGAGAGACTTCATCTCAATAAATAAATAAATAAATAAATAATCCAGAATAGGTAAATCCATAGAGGCAGAATGCAGATCGGTGGTTGCCATGGGATGGAGGGAGAAGGGAATGAAAAAAAAGTGACTTCTTAACTTGTATGGGGTTTTCTTTTGGGATGATAAAATTGTTTTGCAACTAGACAGAGTTAATGGTTGCAGAACATTGTAAATGTACTAAGTCCTAGTGAATTACACACTTTAAAATTGTTACTTTTATGTCATATGAATGTTACCTCAAAGAACAAAAACCATATTCTGCAAGCATGCTTTGAAGCCTGAGGTAACATAATGGAATTCCTGGAAGCCTGAGAGATGGGCAATACAGGGCGTAATGGATGAAGTGGAGAGGTTATTCCCATCCCCACAATAACACTGCCAAGGCGACATGTGGAAAATAGCTCCCAGGTGGGGTCAGAACGGCATCTGGACTGTTTCTGGCCACTTCCCCAAGGTGGGATCCTGGGTCACTCTGGCTCCTTGAGCCTCAGGCTTTCTATCTGCAAAATAGGGCTGATGCATGTTCTGTCTTCCTCAGGGCACCATGGATGAGGGTCCTGAGAGCTCACTATTAATCCATCTTCACAGAGTGAAGCTGCTGAAATGGGATCAGTTTCTTTTCTTTTTTTTTTGAGACGGAGTTTCTCTCGTTACCCAGGCTGTAGCGCAATGGCGCTATCTCGGCTCACCGCAACCTCCGCCTCCTGGGTTCAAGCAATTCTCCTGCCTCAGCCTCCCGAGTAGCTGGGACTACAGACGCGCGCCACCATGCCCAGCTAATTTTTGTATTTTTAGTAGAGATGGTGTTTCACCATGTTGATCAGATGGTCTTGATCTCTTGACCTCGTGATCCACCCGCCTTGGCATCCCAAAGTGCTGGGATTATAGGCGTGAGCCACCGCGCCCAGCCAGCACCCTGTTTTCTAAGCATGGCAGGTAGAGAGCGAGTTCCTGGTTCAAGTGGAGCCATGGACGGGTGACAGGTTTCAGAAGCCAACTGGTGAGAAGAGGCAGTTAACCAGTTTGAATCCTGGCTCCATCACTATCTGTGTGGCCTTGGGCAGGTCGCTCACCTTCCCCAGTTCCAGTGGTAGAATGGGAATATCTATACCTATCAGGGAGAGACGATGTGTATACGTATACACTGGACACTCAATCATCAAACCCATTTCTCTTTCGTTGTGGATGTTCCCAGCAGCTCTCTCGAAAATAAAATGTGCCAGTTCCCAAAATCTGCCCAAGAAAGCTGTGGCTCAGAGAGGGAGGCACTAGCCCAAGGTGACAGTGACTTTGGGCTTAGAACACAGATCTCCTGGCTTCAGGTTCAGGGAACGTAGTCTCTGAGGCTCACTTATCATCTCCAACAGGCGTTTGGCATATACTATGCCCTAGAGCATAGGTGTGTAAGACAGGTGCTGTTGTCCCTGTGTACAGATTAAGAAACAGATTAAATGAATCTCAGGGAGGCCAAGTGACTAAGCACCAGGACACAAAACCAGAACGAAGAGGTCTCGATTTTGAACTCGGATCATCCGCCAGGGCAACGCCCGGAAGCCCCAGGGCGCGCGTGGCTGGGCGCGAGCTCCGCGCGCAGCGGTGGGAATTCCGAGCGGAGTTGGAAGCCGGGCCCGTTCATTTGCATGCTAATACCCAGAATGCTTTTCCCCTGCACACCGCTTCTCTTAATGGAAGCGCTCAGTTTGGAACCGTGGAAAGTTTGGAACACATACTTCGCTCCCTCTTTGCAACTGTGGGAACTTCCCGCCCGCACACGCGGCGCCTGCAGCCTGGGGCTCCGCGCCAGGCGGCCCAACGGCGGCCGCCAGCGCTTCCCCGGCAGGCAAACCTTGGAGTCCAACTCTAGCGCGGTAGTATCCCCGGGCGGGCCGGGGACAAAGCGCCGAGGCCTGGCGGCAGAGCCCATGGCCAGAGCACCCAGCGTCTCACAGGGCTGCGGGGGCAGGGGATGCTCCGAGCTTGGAGAGGCCCGCGGGTGTCCCCGACTCCTCCGGCACCCCCACTTCCCTGAGGGCTCCTGGGGCTCCCTGCCCCGTCCATCGCCCTCATATTGCCTCCCGGAGCCGGTGACTTCACGCTCCCCAGGGACAAAGCTCGTGCTGTGGTTTGGGGGAGAAGCTGGACGCTGGCTTCATCTACCCAGCTCTTCCGGGCGCGTAGCCCGTCAGTTCAGTCAATGTACGGGGTCCAGAAGCAGCTCCCGGGGTTCGGCCTGACTGCGGCCAGGACCCCGGGCCCTCTCTGGTGTTTGAAGCAGGGAGGCGGTCACAGACGACTTCTGGGGATTTCGCGCATGAAAGCGGGGCTCCGAAGCGTGGACGACGCCCGCTCGACCTGCTAGTGCGCATCGCAAGCTGGGGGGCCCGGATCCGCACCCCTCAGTTCCTGCCCCCCCACCCCCACTCGCCGACACTCTCAGCGGGCAGGGGAGGGGCAGTGGGAGCTGGTTTGCTGGCTCGGCGCTACGTTTGCATTGGTCCGGGGGGGCTGAGACTGCAGCCCCCGGCCCCGCGGGCGGGGTGGGGAGGCGGGGGCCGGACGGGGGCTCAGGCTGCTCTAGCATTGGCGGAGCTGGGGAATGGGGAGGGGGGGCAGGAAGCGGGGGGAGCGGAGCTGTGGGGGGGGGTGTATAAATAGGGAAGGGGGGACGTGCATCCTCGGCTTGGTGAGGGGGGGGGCGCTCGGCACAAAGAAAGTGGAAAGTTTGCAGCGCCTGGCGGCCCGGGCTAGGCATCCGGGCGCGCACGTGCAAGGACCGGGGCTCCGGGGGCCCCCATTCCGAGCTCGCCGTTTCTTTTTTTTCTGCAAGCGAGGGGGGGGTGTTGTTGGTATCGCCCCCTCCTTCTCCTCCCCCCAGGGGTGAAAGTGCAAGAGGAAGTGCAGCCGCTGCCATCTTTCCTCCGCTCCGAACACACGGAGCCCGGGGCCGCTGCGCCGCCGCTCCTCCACCGCCTTCTCCCGGCCCGGGGAAGGGCCCACTCTGACGCCGCTGACGCCGCCCGCCCGCTCCAGCCGCCGCCGCCGCCACCGCCCTCCAGGCTCCGAGATCCGGCCCGCGCCGCCGCCCCCGTGCGCGCCCCGCCGCCGCCGCCGCCTTCGCCTTTTGTTTCCTCCGCTCCGGCGCCCCCGCCCCGGCTCGCGCTTTGCAGGGGACGCAGCGCGCGCCCCCAGCGGGCCCGGGAAAAGCCGCGGCGCGCGCGCGCGCCTGCGCGGCGGACCCCTCCTTCTCCTCCTCGCGTGCGCGTGCCCCTCTTGGCTGCGCGCCGGCGCCGCCTGGCGGGCGGGAGGGGAGGTGGCAGGCGCGTTTGCTGGAGGGGCGCACCTCTTTGCTCGCGCACCCCCCCGGAAGGTAGACCGGGAAGGGGAGACGGGCGGGCGGAGAGAAGAGAGCAGCGCGCAGTCCAGCGAGGGGGCGGGGGTTGGCTATGTGTCCGGGGGTGGTGCACCCCGCAGTCTAGACAGTCCGATCCGGGCTGGGGGCGTGTACGCTCAGCGCACCTGCGAGACTATAGAGCCCCGGGCCGGCACGTGTGGGGAGTGTGGACACGTTTGCTGCGCCCCACTTCTCGCTGCCTAGGGGAAGGGAGGGGGCGGGCAGGTGCGGCGGCCGGGCTAGTGGGAGGGGGCGGCGGCCATGGAGCGGGTGAACGACGCTTCTTGCGGCCCGTCGGGCTGTTACACCTACCAGGTGAGCAGACACAGCACTGAGATGCTGCACAACTTGAACCAGCAGCGCAAAAACGGCGGGCGCTTCTGCGACGTGCTCCTGCGGGTAGGCGATGAGAGCTTCCCAGCGCACCGCGCCGTACTGGCCGCCTGCAGCGAGTACTTTGAGTCGGTGTTCAGCGCCCAGTTGGGCGACGGTGGAGCCGCGGACGGGGGTCCGGCTGATGTGGGGGGCGCAACGGCAGCCCCGGGCGGCGGGGCTGGGGGCAGCCGGGAGCTGGAGATGCACACTATCAGCTCCAAGGTATTCGGGGACATTCTGGACTTCGCTTACACATCCCGCATTGTGGTGCGCCTGGAGAGCTTTCCTGAACTCATGACGGCCGCCAAGTTCCTGCTGATGAGGTCGGTTATCGAGATCTGCCAGGAAGTCATCAAACAGTCCAACGTGCAGATCCTGGTACCCCCTGCCCGCGCCGATATCATGCTCTTTCGCCCCCCTGGGACATCGGACTTGGGCTTCCCTTTGGACATGACCAACGGGGCAGCCTTGGCAGCCAACAGCAATGGCATCGCGGGCAGCATGCAGCCAGAGGAGGAGGCAGCTCGGGCGGCTGGTGCAGCCATTGCAGGCCAAGCCTCTTTGCCTGTGTTACCTGGGGTGGACCGTTTGCCCATGGTGGCTGGACCCCTGTCCCCCCAACTTCTGACTTCCCCATTCCCCAGTGTGGCATCCAGTGCCCCTCCCCTGACTGGCAAGCGAGGCCGGGGCCGCCCAAGGAAGGCCAACCTGCTGGACTCAATGTTTGGGTCTCCAGGGGGCCTGAGGGAGGCAGGCATCCTTCCATGCGGCCTGTGTGGGAAGGTGTTCACTGATGCCAACCGGCTCCGGCAGCACGAGGCCCAGCACGGTGTCACCAGCCTCCAGCTGGGCTACATCGACCTTCCACCTCCCAGGCTGGGTGAGAATGGGCTACCCATCTCTGAAGACCCCGACGGCCCCCGAAAGAGGAGCCGGACCAGGAAGCAGGTTGCTTGTGAGATCTGCGGCAAGATCTTCCGTGATGTGTATCATCTCAACCGGCACAAGCTGTCCCACTCTGGGGAGAAGCCCTATTCCTGCCCTGTCTGTGGGCTGCGGTTCAAGAGAAAAGACCGCATGTCCTACCATGTGCGGTCTCATGATGGGTCTGTGGGCAAGCCTTACATCTGCCAGAGCTGTGGGAAAGGCTTCTCCAGGTGAGGAAAGGCCCCCTCTTCCTCCCCTGCTCCCCTGCCACGATGTATCTTAGTCCTGAGAAGGCCCCTGCCAAGATCTGGGGGTGTGGGATTTGTAGGGGGTCACTTGACTTTATAGAGCCGTGCCAGGTTTGGGAAGAGTGATTTAAGGGCCCTTATTTTGAGATGGTATATCCGAGACCTGTTTCCTCTTCCCTCAGGGAAGTTCTTTGACACTAAGTGTGGCCTACTATCTCTCCTGGGGCCAGATTCCTCAGTCCAGAGCCACCGGACCTCACCATTCTTCTCCCTGGGCTCCCTTTGTGTTTCTGGCACCAAGCGTGGGGCCCCCTCTGGGGGCGGGAGACTGGGCTCCTCAGCGACTTCCCCGCTTGAATGGCTGCCGAGGGAGGGACTGGGACAAGTGCATCTGGGACTCCCTACACTCCTGAGGCACCAGATTCCCCAACACAGAACACTGGCCATCCTGATCAGTAGACTCCAGCTATGCCTCTTACACCACCCTGGGATCATGGGACACAGAGCTGGGCATCCAGAGCTACTGCTTACAACCAAAAGCTTTGATCTGCTCCGACCTGCTTGCTGGCTCTAGAGCCTAATGGAGCACACAGAGCCCCTTTATTCTCAGGACGGAAAGAAAGCGGGGCAGGATCTCTGTGCAGGTTCACTTTCTAGTTAGCTTGTTGGGGAACTGAGGACTCGTCTGGGAGCAGAGGGTTGTTTTTTCTCCTAAAAGGCTGGTTTTAACTTGGATTGGAGGACCTTGTGCATGTGAACACAGGGATGGAGAACTCCCTCAGAGGGGCCCCAACCAGGAACCAGTCTTACCAGTCAGGCAGCCCCTGCCCACCTGCTCAGGAGGGCATCTGGCTTACCAGCCCAGCTGGGGACTTAAGGCTCCACTGCTGGCCTCTGGGGACTGAATTCCATCCGGGTGGCATTCATTGGCTGCCCGTGGCGGGAGAGGCTGGGGGAGGGGAATGCTGAGTTTCTAAGGGGCTTTAGTCTGGACAATGAATCACACATACCCCCTCCTGGAAAGGCTGCAGTGAGGCAGCTCTGTCTCATTCTACTGCCACCGCCTTTGGTCCTAGAAATCATTGAGTTTCTGGTGGGGGGAGTTGAGGGGGTGGGGAGACAAGATCAGAGACAAATGCCCACTTCCCTTCCCCCTCCAGAGAAAACCAGGGCAGAGAGTTCTGGGCCTGTGGAGCCAAATCTGGGTGGTGACTTTGTCTTCGTCATGCTGGGGTGGGGGAGAGGGAGTCCTCTCCAGCAGTGAGTGTGTGTACACGTATGCATGTGTGCCTGTGTGGTGAGGTCTGGCCAAGTTTCTAAAGTCCCTCTTGGTTCTCTCTTTTCCAGGCCTGATCACTTGAATGGACATATCAAGCAGGTGCACACTTCTGAGCGGCCTCACAAGTGTCAGGTAGGGGCTGGGCCAGGGCAGAGAGATGGGCTGAAGGAGATGTTGCTGTTCTCATGGTCGCAGTCATGAGCCAGCTGCTGTGTGTGCCGGGGGCCCAGCTGACTGCCCACCGCTTTGCACACCTCCCCTCCTCTGTTCCTCCACCCTCCCTCTGCTTTCTTCCTTTGTTCTTCCCCCAGCCCCGCTTCCCCCACGGCGGATGTTCCCCCTTCCTGGTTGCTTGGTCCTGGTTCCCACCCTGTCTTTGCCTCACTCTATTGCTTGGCTTTCCCTTCCTGGTGTTTGCTGGCTCCTTGGATGGTGGGCCATATCGCACGGATGTTGTGTTGGGAGATGTGGCAGTGCGCTGGGCCTGGCTGTTGGTTCCCAGCAGTTTGTAGGGACTGCAGGTTTTTTTTAAAAGGGCTCCTGGTGGTCCAGCCAACCACTCTTCTCCTTTTCTGACCTGAGTTAGATCTCTTCCTGAGTCCCCTTAGCTTAGGGCACAAGGCAGTGGGGGAGGTCAGAGGTAGGGAGTGGGTGGACCTTTCTCCCACACTGGCATCTGTTTAACCCATCCTGAGCCAGGGTTTCTGGAAGACTGGAGAGCAAGGTAGTCTCCTCTTCTCTTGAGCTCTTTGCAAAATAGCAGGTAGGGAAGGCTGGACCAGATAAGAGTCTCACCCTTGGCTTACCTGCCTGAACAATATCTGGGGGCCCTGCTAGTGCCCAGAAGATTGTTTCCTCTCCTGGCCACTGAGCCTTCCTGTGTAGATAGTGAACACACCTCTGTCTTCTCCTTGGTTATCTCCCTTCTCCTGTGCCAAGTTCCCACCAACTGAGGGCGAGCCATGAGTGTGGGGTGCGCACTACAGCCTCTGATAGGATAACCTACTTCTTCTCCTGGTGGCAAGGGGAGAGGGTTCAGGGAGATCGGCAGGGAGGGATGAATGTGCTGTAAGTAGGGCAGAGCCCCTGGGGGCTAGGCATGGACCGTGTTCACAGGTGCTAGGCTAAGCAGTCTCCTGGAGGAGGATAACCCAGGGTGGGCCTGCTGGGATCTGCCTTTGCCTTGCTGCCTTCTCTCTCTGTCTCTGATTCTCTCATCACAGAGCATACATTCTGACTCAGGTAGTGTGCTGAGCAGCCCGGGCAGAGTAGGAGGAGGAGCCCAGAGGGCAGTGGGGACAAGCCCGGTGGCCTGGGGGGGTAACCTGCACTCTCTGCCCTTTTTCCAGGTGTGGGTTGGGAGCAGCAGCGGCCTGCCGCCCCTGGAACCTCTTCCTAGCGACCTGCCATCATGGGACTTTGCCCAGCCTGCTTTGTGGAGGTCGTCCCATTCAGTTCCTGACACCGCCTTTTCCCTTTCTCTAAAAAAATCATTCCCAGCCCTTGAAAACCTGGGCCCAGCACACTCCAGCAACGCTCTCTTCTGCCCAGCCCCACCAGGATATCTGAGGCAGGGCTGGACCGCCCCAGAGGGCAGCAGGGCCTTTACCCAGTGGCCTGTTGGCTAGCCTCGGCCTCCCTGGAGAGGTTTCACGGTGGAGGGGAACAGGAGTGGCAGCTGGCCTGAGACCCCTGCTTTTGGGAGAGGCTAGCAGGGTTACAGTCCTGCCCACCATGCCCAGCTCCTCCCTGGGTGACTTAGAGTCTTTTCCATCTCAGAGCCCCCAAATGGAGGTAGCAAGGAGCACCTTCCTGGACCCCCCTATAGCATCCAAGTTTCTTTCTTGGGCTCTCTTGTCTTTTCCCCCCTTTCACAGGTGGCACACCTGGGTATCTGTCCTTGCCTGTGTGATTTTGGAGTTTGGTGCCTTCCTGGGAACTAGCCACTAGCTTATCTGCTTCCCCTCCCCTGGTGTCACTTCCCATAGGCCTGGGGTTTCTAGACTGGGGCCTGACCACCCCTCCCCCGACGCCAGGAGTGAGTCCGCCTCCAGAGAAGACTCTGGCACAATTCCAACTAGAGTTAACCCATGCTGCCCTCTGCCCTTCCCACTCAGATCTAGCTCCTGCTTTCATTTCTGGCTAGTGAAGTAGACTTTTGTGTTTTGAGGTTTATTAGCAGGTCTGCTCAGGAACTAAACTAATGAGTAGCTTTATATTGGGCCACCCCAATATATGGCTTTGGGGGCTGATAAAGCAGATGTAGACCCCCTTCCTGGGATCCCATTGGTGTGCCCTTTAGCACCCTGCAGAGTCTGTGGGGTGAACAGGAGTGATGATAAAATTTTTCATTCTAACATTTGAGGCTTTGTGTGTTTTGTCTTGGTCTGTGTCGTAACACTGACATCACTGTCCCTTGGTGTACAAACGCGCTCCTGCTCTGCCCCTCCAACATACACTCTCATAGACCTGCTGGCCCCATCTCCAGCCCCATAGCCAGAACTTCCCTAACAGGGACCCAGCAGGTGAAGACGTGCTGGCTCTCGTGCTCTGGGCTGGCAGCTGGGTGTGCCTGGGCTTGGTTAAACAGCAGGGGCATCTGTCTGGCATGGTGTGGGGATGCTGAAAACATCAGAGGTGAAGAGACATCTCTCTGAGAGTTCATTCCTTGGGCGCCCCACTGGCTAGAACACAGTCTGTACCTCTCATCCCCTTCTGAGGCCAGAGAGAAAGAAAGAGGCCAGTTCCAGAGACTGGTGCCGTAGGGGCAAGAAGCCTCAGGCTTGACAGTGGGATGTCTCCTTGGGGCTTGGCCTAAGTGTCTTTAACGGGCCCAGATGCCCTAGGCACTGCTGGATTTATGAGCTTAGTGGGCTGGACGTTTCCCCCACTTGGAGTTCAACCTGAAGCTGAGGGTCTGCAGCAGTTGAGATCTCCTTCCTAGCTTTCACTGGCTCGACTTCTTGAGGGCTGGTTAGAGAAGGATGAATTGAGATGGGCATATGCTCAAGAAGAAGGGGGCCAGAAATGCCTAGAGAGCTGGACCTTAATGCATTGCCCTTACGAGTTTTCCAGGGCTGTGGGAGAAGGCTGCTTCAGACTACCCTTGAGGCTTCCAGAGTTCAGGGGCCACCAAGGGTGGGGGTGTGCACTAGTGCCCTTGGTACCATTTGGGCCCCATTCCCAAGCTGCTCAATCCTTAGGAAGAAAAGCTTCAGGAAATCTATGAAGGCAGCAAGACTGGGGCTCAGTGTTGAGTGGTGATGACCTGCACTCAGGGAGACTGGGCCATGACCTGGCAGGCATGGCCCCTAACTACAGTAGGGTGTCTAAGCACAGGGCTGCGGGCAGGGCAGCTCTTCTGAGTGCCACAGGCAGTCACAGCATTCTGCCCCTGGCTCATTCTCTTCACATCAGCCTCCCTCTGTCTTCTCTCTATCTCTAGGACAAAGAATGCTTTTCTCCTGAGGCCCCAGCATGGAAGTTCTGGATGTTCCCTTTGAGATCTGTCTCCTTCCACCCCTTCTCTCCTGGGTTGTGTAACCAAGCTCTTTCATATTCTGTGTTGTCTGAACTTACACTGTGCCTAGACTTTGGACTTTCACAGGATCCCCAGAAAACCTGGGGACTGCAGCCACAGAGGGTCAATCCTGGCACAGAGAAGCCAACAATCACTTTAGCTTGGTTTTGTAACACAGGGAAAGCTTTTGTCATGTTTGTGTTTTTTCCCCCAGCAGCAGATTTACATTCCTAATTCTGTTTGCTCAGGCAAAAGTTAGCTTTCATTCCTTGAGAGATAATCAGTGGAGGACAGGGTGGGGGAAGCCAGCCCAGTCTGAGATTTTACTTTTGCTTAGCTAATCTCCAAATGGATAAGCCACTTGTGGATAATTGAAGTTTGGCTATCCATCATCTTTAGGTAGCAAAGCATGACAGGCAAAGCCTTTAGATGAAGATCCCAAAAGAAGGTTGGCAAGAGAAACCAGGCATCTCTTTCCTATCCCTCTTGTGACTCCCTCTCCTAGGGACCGTGGAAGACAGAATCCTGAATGTGCTTTCAGCCCCTGCCTCAGCCTCCCAAGTAGCTGGGACTGTAACCATCCGCCACTACGGCAAGCTAATTTTTTTGTATTTTAGTAGAGATCGGGTTTTACCATGTTGGCTAGGCTGGTCTCAAACTCCTGACCTTGTGATCTGCCCACTTCGGCCTCCCAAAATGCTGGGATTACAGGTGTGAGCCACCGCACCTGGCCTTAGTCTCATTTTCTTACAATTGATCCACTTTTTCCTGTGAGTTCTGAGGCTTAGAACATAGCCTCTCTCACCGTTGGAGGGGTGATCTTTGGGTCACTGCCTGGCAAAGCTAACTCTTGTCCCCAAATAAACCAACAGGTGCACCTCTCTTTCCTGGGGTGGAGTGTTTATGTAGCCCTGCCCTGGTTTACTGATTATAGACTGCTGGGCTGTGTAGAAGCTCTGAGTGTTTTCTGCTACTGTGGCCTGTTGCTGGGTCACGAGGTCCTTGGCTGGGGTGGGGCCCACCTGTGGCCATGAGAGCAAGCATCCATGGTGCTTTCTTCTTTTTTTTTTTGAGAAGTCTCGCTCTGTCACCCAGGCTGGAGTACAGTGGTGTGATCTTGGCTCACGGCAACATCTGTCTCCTGGGTTCAAGCATTTCTCTGCCTTAGCCTCCCAGGTAGCTGGGATTATAGATGCCTGCCACCATGCTTGGCTAGTTTTTATATTTTTAGTAGAGACAGGGTTTCACTATCTTGCCCAGGCTGGTCTCAAACTCCTGACCTTGTGATACATCCGCCTCGGCCTCCCAAAGTGCTGGGATTACAGGTGTGAGACACTGCGCCTGGCCCATGGTGCTTTCTAACTCACCTACATGCTGAAATTTCCTTGCACAGATCTGTTCAATGTTCCCTTTTAAGCGTCCTGGCTGCCAAGTACTATACACGGTGTTATAAAGTATGAGCACCTTTCACTCTCCAGAAGCTCCCTCTCCTGAATCTGGAGATGGTAAGAGCACAGCTGTGGGACAGGTTCTTAGTCCAGCTGTCTCATATCCTCTCAGGGCCTCCACTGGCCCAGCCGTGAACTGGGAGGGATCAGAATATCCCTGGGTGGCCAGGAGGATTGGTAGAGTATTAGCCTGGCTGTGGTGAGGGTGGTTGTGCTAGACTTTATCTAGTAGCTGAGTCTTGTGTTTTAGGCAAGTTCACCTTCTAAAGTTAGTTGCCTCATTTGTGATATGAATACACTGAATATATAAAACAGATAAAAGCAGTATTTCATTGCTACAAATTCAACTCAAATGTGTAATGTTTACTTAAAAAGACATTGACAGAAGAGCTAGGTAAGGCTGTGCTAACGTATACAGATATCTGGGACTGGGGTGGTAAACAGTGGTGTCTTCCACCTTTGACAGCAAAGCGAGAAAGCGTTTGTTTCTCACTTTGGTTGTACCTTGAGGAGATAGCTGTCTGTTTGTGGTGACAGTGTTCAGACCCTTACCTTGAACTCTCAGGTTCTCAGGATGTGCTTCTGTTAAAGAGAGATGGCAGGGGCAGTTCCATTCTAGCACAAGGTAGTCTTCAGGGGGTTACCATTTGATCTGTAACTCATTTAAAGGTGCATGTTGCTTTCTCTTACAGTTCTATAAACCATAAACACACACATAGAAAAAAAGAAGTGAGTCAAAATTGACTAGAACCCCTGAAACATCTCCCTGGTACCAAAATAGCTTGAAAGCCAACAGATACGTCTCTTCTCAGGGCTTTCCCCATATTCTGTGACCCCCGCCACGGCTGGAATGCCTTTGTAAGCTCCAGCTGAGGAAGGGATGTTGTTGAGGACTGATCACTGATACTAAGTCAGGTCCTCAGGTACCGGAAATCCTGCCAGCCTGGGTCCTTTCAGGGTGCTGGTTCTGATCTTCAGCTCCTGACTCATCCAGCCTGGGGACCTGGCTCTGAGTTGGTGCTCAGCTCACACCACAGCTTTCCAAAGCCACACTGTCTTGGAGGGTGATCACACAGCTTGCCTCAGAGGGCTGCCATCAGGATGGGTTGCATGAGATAAGTGCCTCTAAAAGGCTGAGCATGGTGCCTGTCTGGCACACAATGTATCATCATCTTTGCTGTCACCAGTACTTCCCAGCTTAATGTTTCACAAACACTTTTTTTGAGTGGAGTTTTGCTTGTTGCCCAGGCTAGAGTGCAATGGCATGATCTCAGCTCACTGCATCCTCCGCCTCCTGGGTTCAAGAGATTCTCCTGCCTCTGCTTTCCGAGTAGCTGGGATTATAGCCATGCACCACCACTGCCGGCTAATTTTGTATTTTTAGTAGAGATGAGGTTTCACCACGTTGCCATGTTGGCCAAGCTGGTCTTGAACTTCTGGCCTCGGGTGATCCTGCCAACTTGCCCTCCCAAAGTGCTGGGATTACAGGTGTGAGCCACGGTGCCCGGCCAATTTTTTTTTTGGGACAGAGTGTCACTTTGTTGCGCAGACTAGAGTGTAGTGGCACAATCTCAGTTTACTGCAACCTGCACCTCCTGGGTTTGAGTGATTCTCCTGCCTCAGCTTCCTGAGTATAGCTGGGATTAACAGGCATCTGCCACAATACCTGGCTAAATTTTTTGTATATTTAGTAGAGACAGTGTTTCACCATGTTGGCCAGGCTGCTCTTGAACTCCTGACCTCAGGTGATCCACCCACCTCAGCCTCCCAAAGTGCTGGGATTACAAGGGTGAGTCACCTCGCCTGGCCCACAAACGCTCTTGAAGCCTCCGGCCCTTGTTCTGTATGCTAATTCTCATGTCGTCAGAATTGCCACTATCTTTTGTTTAGTTTTTTGAAATGGACTCTAGCTCTGTTGCCCAGGCTGGAGTACAGTGGCACAGTCTCGGCTCACTGCAACCTTTGCCTCCTGGCTTCAAGTGATTCTCCTGCCTCAGCCTCCCAAGTAGCTTGGATTACAGGTACCCAGCACCACGCCCAGCTAATTTTTGTATTTTTAATAGAGATGGGATTTGACTGTATTGGCCACGATGGTCTTGAACTCCTGAACTTGTGATCCACCCGCCTCAGCCTCCCAAAGTGCTGGGATTAAAAGCATGAGCCCCTGCACCCAGCTGCCACTGTCATTTTATGGGCTGCTTTTTAAATTAAAACTCACGAAAATATTATGAAGAATTATCTCTGTGTTTTGTCCTGCCTTTCCTTTCCATTTCCTTGGCCAAGATTAATGTCACTTTTGAATAAAATGAATAAATAGAATTCTTTGCATAAAACAACTAGGGAAAACCCAGGGATAGAGAACAGGAAGGCTGGTTTATATGCCAATAACTCATCTGTAAGTTCATGTAAATGTAATTCTGTGCATTACAGTCAATGTACCTAAAGTCAATTCTCAATGTCTAAGGATGAGCAAATGTATAACTCTTCATTGTGTAGAGGGGTGTAGAACTTAGCTTGCCATGTCCTGGGCACATTTCCAGTAGTCATTTAGTTAGTACCAGTGATTTCCACTCAAGTGTCCTGTAAGGAGGCACCATGAGAAATAAGAAAAGCTGCTTGGAATTCTGGGTAGAGAACCTGAGCCAAACTCTAAAGCTCTCTTTATAAAGGGAGGTCATGTGATGGCCAGAAATTGCTCTTGCTTCATGGTGCACTTGGTGGGGAGTCAGGTGTGGTGTGCTGGGTTTCACCTCATCCTGTTTTCTTTTCTGCCTTCAGACTTGCAACGCTTCTTTTGCCACCCGAGACCGTCTGCGCTCCCACCTGGCCTGTCATGAAGACAAGGTGCCCTGCCAGGTGTGTGGGAAGTACTTGCGGGCAGCATACATGGCAGACCACCTGAAGAAGCACAGTGAGGGGCCCAGCAACTTCTGCAGTATCTGTAACCGAGGTAATAAGCCCACTGTTTCCTCACTTCCAGTGGATGGGCCTGAGCTTGTATGGGAGGTCTAGGGGTGTCTTGATGACCCTGCCTCAGACTCCACACAGCCCTTCCCTTCCCACTGAATGATAAATACCTTCATCACCCAGCTAGCTGTTTGCAACCCCTTACTTCCCAAGCTTGGAGTGCTTAGAATGGGAGGTCCCAAGAGACCAGCAGGTTGGAATGGAAGGAGAGAAGTTCTTCCCAAGCTTGGGCCCATAACTCCCACCTGCTACTCAGGTGGCAGGATGGATGCATTTAGCAGACACCACTGAACTACTGAGGTTGGTTGGGGTGTTAATAGGTCCCAAAGTGGGAGAAAAAGAGGTCAGTCCGGCTTGAGAGCTTTTGTTGCTGGTTGATTCACTGGCATATGAAATTCAGCAGCCAGGGAAGGAGGCTGAGTCTGGAGATAAACAAGGAGCAGTCATTTGCTAGCACAGGTGGTCAGAAGAGAGCCCAAACTCAGGTAGATTGTGGCCTTGATGAGAGAGGAAAGTGGAAGGTACTTTGAACAGGGCAGTGTGCTTGAGGACAAGGTGGGTCTAGGTAGTGTCCAACTCTGTGGCAGTGGTGTCGTGTTGGGTGAAGTCAAGCCTGTCCCCAAGGTTCTGCCAGGTCTAGTTGGCCGTTGGAAGTGCTAGATGTTTGTGTTTGGCAAGCACAGCATCAGTGGAGGCTTGTGCTGTGTCTGTGCTAAAGGAGGTCGGAGTAGCTGTCTGAACATGAGGAAGCTTCTGCATGGTGTGCATTGCTTTGGCCAGGTGGGGAGGTTGCTGGGATATCCTTATCTCCTGGGGCATTTTTGCTTGTCCCAGTGCTTCTCAGAGCCTGGGGTATGGCTTAGTGGGTTGAGTACTGAACCAGGAATCAAGAGACCCAGGGTTTTGTCTCAGCCTCTCACTAGGTGGCCTTGAGTTCTCCCATTCCTCTCTAAGCTTCAGTTTCTTCATCTCTCAAATGGGGTTAAGAATACCCTCCCTTTCCACCTCACAGGGTTATTATGAGGATCCCAAGAGACAAGGTAGGTGAAAGGAGCTGCACACTTCGGAGGCCCTATCCTTGCACTTTGTAACAATGTTGGGAAAGACATGCTTGTTGACACTCTGGGTTGGACCAGGCACAACACTCCTGCAGGCCTTGGTGGAATCGTTGGGTGCCTGTGCTGTGTTCATGTGCTCTGAGGTCCATGGTGGAAGGAGATTGCTGAGTAGCTGGGTGTTCTTGGTGTCCTGGAACTGGGTCCCTCTTTGCAGCTTCATACCTGGGGTTTGTACCACCAGGACACCTGCAGGGAGGTATTAGTAAAGGCCTTTTAAGCTGTCTGTTCTGTTTTCTGACATGTCAGTAGAGCCCATTTCTGACCGGAGCTTCCTCCAGGTTGCAGGTGGTGGGCTTGCACATGTAGGGAGAGTTACCAGGCTGTGGCTGACTGTATTGACTGAGGCTGCCCCGGCCCTAGATGTTGTTTCTTGTCTTGCTTCATCCTAACCTGGTTTCGTGACAGCTCCCCCAGATAACTCAAAACTTGCTGGAACAGGGATTTTGCCAAGTTTTCAATGTGGAAGTTCCCAGTCTGAGAACTGGGGTCAGAGACCAGAGGCTGAAAACTGTTGAGTGGAGAAGGGTGCTCATGATAAAACTTAGAAAGCCCAGCCCAGATGGTGGAGTAGGGCAGGAACTGGGCAGGAGACCCAGGCCACAGCCCTTGGGAGTCCAGCTCAGGAGGAAAGAAGAACTGAGGCAGCAGGGATAGTGGGAAAGTTGGCCCAGTTAGGAGGCAGCTGATGTCGCAAAGCCAACACTATTGTATGTCAGGATTTCTTTTCTAAGGGCTGGTAAAGAGAACTTGGGCAACAGCCATAAGCTACATGACTGGAATGGAGAATCTAGAAGAGTAAACCAGAGTCTACTTTTTCTCAGAAAAGCCAAGACTGGATCTGATCACAGGCCAAACATCTTTGGTCCCAGAGCCAGAGTGGGAAGTCCCTTTCCTGCAAGAAGACTAAAGAAGGTTCTGGTCCAACCCATGCTGGGTACTCAGAAGGAAGATAAAACAATTGCAGTTTTTATCAGAAGAGGAGGAGCTGGATTCTACTCCTGGACTCATTCCTTGGGCAGAAACAAGAGACAAAAAAAAAAAAAAAAAAGGAAGAGGATAAAGTTCTTTCTGAGCACCAAAAACGTTGAGATGAAGACATTGGAATCAGAATGCAGAGAGCTCTGTGTCCTCCTTTGCCCTGCTGCCACCAAGCCTTTACCTATAAGAGGAGTTGCACGAATAAATGAATGTTCTTATCTCTCTGCATGCGTTCAAGCAAAGGCTAAATGTCAGCCAGCTGATTAGAACAGTTATGATTGAATCAGGTGAACTTCCAGGTGCCTTCAGATCCTTCAGTCCCAACAATTCTTAGTTGCCTTGAGTATCTACCTATAGATCTGTCTTTTTCAGTCTTTCCCACAAAAACGACTCCTGGCTGTGAAGAATGGGAAAGAAGGAAGGCAGCCTGACTCCTGCAGCCTCACATGTGAGTCAGATGCAAGTTAATGAGCGACAGATAACTCTGGCTTTGTCATACAGACATATCAGGATGTGTATGATACTATTTGTAGAGGAAGATCATTTGCAGTAGAGGGAATATTATGGCTAGAAAAGCTTGTTCCCTCATTTTCGAGTTGAGGAAATCAGTTGAGTTTAACAGTTGAAAAGG